GCTTGCTCTCCTCCACCCTCACTCACTTTCACCAGGCTGGGGCAGGGGGTTGGGGTGTGGGAGAAGGTGCGGGGTGCAGGCTCTGGGAGGGAGTTTGGGTGCGGGGTGCAGGCTCTGGGCTGGGTCAGGGGGGTGGGGTGCAGGAGGAAGTAAGGGGGTCGGTGCTTACCTCGGGTGGCTCCCGAAAGCAACCAGCACACCCCGCAGCTACCCTTGACCACAGTTCCCGACCAATGGGAGCTGCAGGGTCGGCACTCAGGGCAGGGGCAGCATGCAGAGATCCTCTCCGCAGGGGCCGCAGGGACATGCTGGCCACTCCCAGGAGCATCACGGAGCGAGGGCGGGCAGGAAGCCTGCCTTAGCCCTGCTGCGGTGCACTGTCGGCAGCAGCGACCGGGGACCCCCTGGCACTTTTAAATTGGCCAGGCCCCTGGGCAATTGCCTGCTTTGACGCTCCCTCCACTCCCCCTTCCCCCCGTTGGTGGGCCTGTCCTGCTGTTTCTGCCTCTTCTATATTCATCAATGATAAAGATGGCTGTAATGTAGCTGACAGTTTTGCTGATGATATGTGAGGCTGAGTAGCATCCAGTCTACTCTCCCTTGGCTGTATCAGTGCTGCCAACATGTTGTTATCACTAGTAGGTTATAAAGGAAACCCTGTAGGGTGCATCTCAACATGACTATTACTAAAGTAGGCCAAAGGACCAAGCTTAAAAGGAAGGAAAAAAGTTAAGCAGCCTGACATTCAGCATAGCTAATGTTTGCAAGCTTGCATAAAATGCTGAATAATGGCAAAACAGATAAAGCAATGGGACACAATGGGGAATTATAAGATCTTGGAAGATAAATGAATGGATGCTGAAGGTTATTAATGTCATCTAGCCATAAATATACTCTGGATATAAAGACCAATGAAAATGAGCAGGATATGCAAGAAGTAATTTAAAAACAATAAAGGAGAGACATGTATGAAAGATGAAACACCAGGAAGAGGGAAGCAGCAGAAAGATAAGGGATTAAGGTAAGAGATTAGTACTGTCTACTAGAAGTAAAGCAAGAATGACAAATGAAATCTTAAATGAACGCATTTTCCAGGGACATTAAAATCAAGAGGTCACTAAAACACAGGAACATAGGAATTGCCCGTCAATTGGTCTCACTAATAGTTAAACATTTTCTTAATGCAGCATGAGGTTTTATCTCCCCTCCAAGACTTTTCTATTGTGGCATTAATTGTTATATTCTCAGGGAATATTCTTGTCAGCCACATACATGCCCAAACCCTCTCTGAGGAGAGACAGTGGCAGAGCCAGGTTTTGCAATGGGAGGGATGAAGCGATGAGTCAGTGTTGATGCCACTTTCCCACATATGTCTGCTGCATCCACCACAAACCTAATCTCAAGTGAATGCGGCGGGGAGGGCCCCGGGGTGGTTAGCGTGGGCAGGGCTGGAAAGCAAGTCTCCTGCACGTTCACCTGGCAGCAGTGGCTCCTGTTTTGTGGGACTGGGCCTGGCTCCCCACTCTGGACATTGCAATCTGGTGCCCAGGATCGCAATGCCGTTCAGATTTGGCCTGGCTGCCCCCAGGTCATGAAGGGACAGGAGCTGGGCCCAGCCCTGCGAGACAGGAATCGCCGCTGCTGGACAAGTGCAGAACAGGCTGGTTCTCCAGCACCATGTGAAAAATCATGTCAGATACCTCCTTTTGTCAATTGGACAATATACCTAAGGGCCGCTGGGCCAGGGTGGGAGGTTGGGGGTTAACAATGGAACTAATTGTGTGCTTAAAATTGATTGGAAAAAGGCAAATATAGTGCCCATATTTTAAAAAGGGAAGAAAGAGAACCCGGGGAACTACAGCCTCACTTCGTTCCCAGCAAAATCATGGAGCAGGTCCTCAAGGGATCCATTTTGAAGCACTCGGAGGAGGGGAAGGTGATCAGGAAC